TGGTTGCAAAATATGCACTGTCTTTTATTGAGTCAAAAATTTTAATTAATCTTCATTATAATTTTGTAAAAAACTCCAGTTATTACATTTTAAGGGCGTGCGCACCGTTAAGCGGAACGCAGAGCGGGCGTGTTTTCATGTCATTTCATAGAGACCCGCTGCGCAGGAGACCCGCCTCATGCAGCGCTGCTCTATGTAATGCACGCCGAGCGGACGCCCGCTCCGTGCGTTCATTATAATTTTGAGAAAAACTCCAGTTATTACATTTTAAGGGCGTGCGCACCGTTAAGCGGAACTCAGAGCGGGCGTGTTTTCATGTCATTTCATAGAGATCCGCTGCGCAGGAGACCCGCCTCATGCAGCGCTGCTCTATGTAATTCACTCCGAGCGGACGCCCGCTCCGTGCGTTCATTATAATTTTGGGAAAAACTCCAGTTATTACATTTTAAGGGCGTGCGCACCGTTAAGCGGAACTCAGAGCGGGCGTGTTTTCATGTCATTTCATAGAGATCCGCTGCGCAGGAGACCCGCCTCATGCAGCGCTGCTCTATGTAATTCACTCCGAGCGGACGCCCGCTCCGTGCGTTCATTATAATTTTGGGAAAAACTCCAGTTATTACATTTTAAGGGCGTGCGCACCGTTAAGCGGAACTCAGAGCGGGCGTGTTTTCGTGTCATTTCATAGAGATCCGCTGCGCAGGAGACCCGCCTCATGCAGCGCTGCTCTATGTAATTCACTCCGAGCGGACGCCCGCTCCGTGCGTTCATTATAATTTTGGGAAAAACTCCAGTTATTACATTTTAAGAGCGTGCGCACCGTTAAGTGGAACGCAGAGCGGGCGTGTTTTCATGTCATTTCATAGAGATCCGCTGCGCAGGAGACCCGCCTCATGCAGCGCTGCTCTATGTAATTCACGCCGAGCGGACGCCCGCTCCGTGCGTTCATTATAATTTTGGGAAAAAACTCCAGTTATTACATTTTAAGGGCGTGCGCACCGTTAAGCGGAACGCAGAGCGGGCGTGTTTTCATGTCATTTCATAGAGAGCCGCTGCTCAGGAGACCTGCCTCATGTAGCGCTGCTCTATGTAATACACGCCGAGCGGACGCCCGCTCCGTGTCCCGTTTAACGGTGCGCATGCTCTAAAGGCAACAAAAATACTGACTCAACTGAAACCATAGAAAAGTTTTATTTCCTGCAGAAGTTCTGAAACTGGACTTATACCTACATTAACAGCCTAATAATTTCCCCAATGATGGGGCACAAGCCTTCCCTATGGATGGAATAGGGAGATGAGGCCATGACCCACCACGCGGGCCCAGTGCCGATTGGCGGGTGTTAACGACTGTAGCACGGAGGTTCTTGAGATAGAAGATTTTTGGTCACCCATCCAATGACCGACCACTGCGAAAGTTGCTTAACTTCAACGATGGCAGCCGAACGCGTTACCACCCGCGCCGAGCTCCTCCTTACTTATACCTTATTACCACATAGCGTTCAACACGAGTTTTAGAATAAATGTCATACAAAATTTGCTTAAACAAGGTTTGAAACCGTGTCTAACCGTGTCTTTTGTAGTAAGACCGCTATTGTTTATTTAAGAGTATAATACTCAACCAAAATAAAATCCCTAGGTTCACACTGCCGACAGCCGTATGTGCTAGTAAAAGTATTTGATATGCGTAACTCGTCATTCGTTTATACTGTCTGTTCCGATTAGAGCATAAATAATTCAACACGCAATGCCAACTCTTTTCAGTATTGTTCTACGAAAGTATTATCGCTTGAAATACGAACGCCTAAGCCCATTACGGTTTAAGATTACATTAATTTATAATCAAAGATAATTATGAAATGCGACCCTACTTTTGTTTACGAGTTGCCTCGTCGCTATGGAATTTAGCTATTATTATGACCGTCGAGAAATTATAAACATTTACAATTACAGAATCCGTTTGCTGATAGTTCATTCGAGAACAAAGGATAACACAGATACAGCACGATCCATTGTTTCATTAGCGCTTGTCGAGAATTCGGAAATGCCTTGACACTTTATCTATTGCACTATTACGAAATTTAAAAAAAAAATCTAATCCGACGTTCTGTTTCGCTTTATTTATGACAAAATTGCGACGAAAACCCCGCCGCATTGTTTTTCGGTTCGCATATCGGTCAATGTCAGCACGCTTTCGATTTCAGAGTCGCTGGCTGGTGGGAAAAAAAAACTGAACTCCGCTACCGCTCACAAATTGACATCTCAATATTTTGTGTAATATTGGAATATAATTTAAATAAGACAAAATCATTTTTTATATTGCAAGATTATTAAAAATCGCGTTTTAATAGACGCGATTTATAAAAATATTGATGTCGATTAGAAGTGAATTTTGTAACGTGATAATTAAAAAAAAACTAATTTGTTTGGTAAAGTCTTCCTTTTAAATGGAGCCTCTCCAATATATTTATTTTATTTAAATTCAATTATTTTTTTCATTCTGTTATTGAAGCTACTTAATATCACTGACTTACGAAATAGTTCGTTTCCAAACTGGACATCGCAACAAACCGCAGTAGGAAAAATCATTTGTTCGTTTTTGCCACAACTTACAAAGAACATTAAAAGTCGTCTTTTTCTGTATTTGTTGTATTAATACAGCATATAGGACATCATACACCGAAATTTCGCATTCTTAACTATTTTAGATTTTGAGATAGATCCCGTCACAAGAATGGTCTAAGAATTAAAACTCCCCGTTTCTTTATTATGGAAAATAATAAAAATTATGTTAATATCCTACTCAACGAGCTCTAGACAACTTTAAGCTTGTCTGTATAGGCGGACGCAAGAAAGTGTATAATAATAGAGATAGTGATGACATAATTTGGAGGAGGTCTAAAAGCTCAGCAGTGGGCTTCTCCTATGGCTGAATGGTGATTGTCTTAGCAGAAATCCTTTCTATAAATTCCTCCAGACTGAGTTTAAGTGAAATCCTTTCATGTTCCAATAACCTTAAGACTTAAATAAGTATTAGCAACTCCTACGCTCGTTTTCCATTACAAAAAGCACTTTAGTTAATCAGTTCGCGAAGTGTTTCAAAAACGGAGCAGACACTGGCAACCGGGCAACCCTAGCATAGTCACGAATCACACTATAGACGTAAATAACCATTGGAGCTTCGGTTCAGCAGAAAACATATGCGGTAACAAGGCGGATAATCACTTGCGAATACATATATTCGTCACGTTCGGCAATTGTTCCAGGAAAATGCCGTATGTACTGTACCATACAAAGCATTAAATACATTGAAAGCAAAGATCCTCGAATACATCGCTACCTACTGCATCTTTATAATATACTTTTAGTCAAGAATTTACATAAAAAATTTGTTACACTACAATCAAATGAGAGAATAATTCGATAATAATAGAAAAGCTAGTTTTTCACTATGGGTTGAAAATTCTGTAGTGAAATTTAAATTATGTGTAAACGCAAATCCGCAGTTTATTAGGGATATTTTCCCGCAGTAAAACGTAGCTTATGTGTTAATGCAGGATGTCAGCTAACTCCATACCAAATTTTGCTATTAAAACCGCTCCAGCCGTTTAGACGTGAAGAAGTAACAAACATACACACTCACACACTTTCGCCTTTATAATATTAGTGTGGTATGTACAAGTATGCTTTAATTACTTAATAACACATTCCCATAGTGAGAAGTAAACCACGATGAGGTAAAAAGAGCAGTGCAAGGTTGATTTTAAGGCGCTTTCGTCGAAGAGCACAACGCCAAGTTTTATCACAGAATAGGACTACTGTTCTTTTAAAAAATCCATCGAGCAGATGTACTACTTATGGAATGCGAGTGTCAACATAGCGTCGTGGCGCGGGTCTTAGTGTGTGAAGTGTAAACATTGTATGTAATATGATTTCCTTCCTTATTTGAGCGATTACGATTTCGTATCTTCCTCTAATAGGCATTAAGTGCGGGTGACCGTTATATTTTGTTTTGTTTTGTCGCCTTGCCGATTGTTGATGTTTCTATCAAGTGTTTTTCTACTTATGTTACGTAGGTTTAGCTATAATATTTTATACATTAAGTTAAGTTTTATCAAGTGAAATGAAAATTCTTTTACACCTAAATATAAGTTATATTGAAGTAGTTGAAAAAAGCCAAATTCTTAGAGATAAACAGTTTTTTTCATTCGCAGATTGTGTGCGACCTTTTGTGTTGTTGTACCATAAGTACACATCGTAACTTTACAATATTGACAAAGTAGGTAATGTTTGCGTTGCGACGTACATAATTTGCATAAATTGCAAGTACTTTTCGCTATCGATTGTGGCCTATCCGTAACAAACATCTCATTACATGGTTTGACATGCATAAATGCATTTGTTCTCAAGGATATCACATAAACTGTAAATGTTTGCTTAAATTAACGTTGTGATCTTCGAATTGCAACCATTATTATTTCACGTTTGATGTAGGAGATTGCCATCTATTTATAAAATTAATAACATGGTGCAATCATGTGAAAAAATATAGGAAAAATTTAAAAGAATTAGTTTACTCGAAGATTTATTTATCCTTTGAAGATAAGTTTTCCTATTGCACAGTAGAGTTCAGAACACTCTCAGTAACATTAGAAGTTTATAAAACGAACTTAGAAAGCAAATATCAAATTCATAATTTAACTAACACACTCATTGTACGCAATATCAACATTCCACATTTCTGTAAAGCCTTCTCGTGATAGAGTTCGCAGCCGTCCAAGCCTCTTATACTTAAAGTGGTCCACAGTACTGAGTTTCAGTTACGTATTCGCAAAAAATCCTATTCACGTACGAGTATGAAACCTCCATTCCACTGACACATAGTTTGATAAGACGTCATAATATAAACATTTCTCATAAAAGGAAAATCTTAACAAGTAAACGCAAAGACGTTCCGAATAAAACAACAACCGCTGATCCCGTAAAGAAAATACATCCTTTCGCACCTGGCACATGATACGGGGTGGGGTTGGACGGCGGCAGCCAGTAGGCGGCGCTGATGGCCGGGTAACTTGCGCTGGCGCGGCCCGCCTTGCCGCGCGCGCCTCCCGCCTCGCCTCGCATCCTCACTGGCTCACTAGCTCACAGTGCTCACACTGCCTCACTGCACACTCACACACACATGACCACGCGTACCACGCGACTGCGATCCGCCGCGACGCAGACAATACTAGCCGCTATAGCTAGTCGTAGCAACCGTGCCGCGAGGTGCGCGAGCGATGACGGACGATCACTCATTCTTCGTGCTGGGCTCGTGACACTCCCCCCACTTCGATTACGTCGCCCGCCTAATGAGCTCTGTCCTGTGTCACTAAAATGGCTGCTGTGGATGAACAGCTCGACAGTACGCTATGGTATTGTAACATATGTAGAGTTGCATTGAGATAGTCTTAACTCTTGATCAAGATAGAGCGAGATTGTCTTACAGTACCCCTAGCACGAACTTTGACAGATTCGTATTCGTATCACCAACGTTTCTATGGAAACTAGTACCGGAGGACGTAGGAACAAACCGTCTTTTTCCATAGAAACTTGACATGGCGATACGAATACACTTTCGCTAGTTGTTCTGTACAACTGCGGGGTACTGTAACTTGGTTGAATCTTTCACTTCTTGTAAATTGATTCTTGAATTTGTTTTTCTGAGAAGATTTTTGGTAAATCGCCGTCGCTCTACTCCAGAGCCAGCGTATAGAGTTTCGGGTAAATGTATTTGGGCAAATTTGAATTGAATCGGTAACCCAGAACGCTTCACCCGCTTAAATGACAAAATATTATAAATTACACATACCTAATTGAGGGTAATTCAGGCTCAATAAATTAAATTTGTAGTAATGCAACATATTCATTTACAATATACTTAAATATGAAATTTAAATATATTGAAGAGGTTCACCAAAGCGAAACATTTTAGCGCGTCCGGTGACGTCACCCGCGCGTTTTCCACCAGACACCGGTGCACGTCTCACTAATGTCACATCACATTGTCACCGCGCATCACCGAGCAAAGTGCACGCATATTCTGCCAAAATCACTCGGAAACATTTCACAATCAATAGAGATTTAATAACACGCTCGTCGTTTGAGAAACCGTTACCTAATCGATGCGATATGGTTGTAAGTGTTCAGCTGTTTCGTCGTCCGTAACGGGAGAGGCTGAAACGCAGCCGTCGCTTACTGTTTTAATCGTTGGCATTAATCGATATTGAATTACGATTAGCTCCAAGTTGTTGCAGAATAATGGCGATAGTTATTGGGTATTTCCTTGGCGATAGGCTATTAGAAAGACCTTTGCTTGCGTGGAAATTCTCTTTGAATGCAATACTCTGAATTCATATTATGCCGTTTAATAATTTTGTCGAGTTTTTCAGTCTTTAAAAATCCCTATAATGATATTGCACCTAGAATTATATTGAGATATAGCCACTACAAAGAAAATAAAAAAAAGTGTTGATGTTTATTTTTCAAAATTTTTCTAAAATGATCATAATATTGGTGTTGATTCCGACATGATTATATAAATCTAAGACTGATCTTAAATTTAGTTTTCAGGTTCGAGAATCGTGCCATAATCGACACCAGTATATGGATACGTATGTCATACAAAATTATGCAACTTTAAAAATTTGAGGTTTGTTTAACAAACATATTTCCTAATTATTAATTTATTGTTATTAGGTACCAACAGTGGATAAATAATATTAAATTTGTAAAATGTAATCGTTAATCTTATAACGGTGAACAGATGTTATTGCCAACTGTACAGAGACTATTAATTGGTTTTAATTAGACATAATTAGCCCGATTGTAAATTATTACAAACCGAAATGGTTGAAATTGAAAACTAATTACGAGCCATTATGGCCGTGGAGCCAACCTACATAATCGTATTGTTTGTTCTGAATAATAAGTTTTGCGCAAAAAAATAAATCCTAGATGGTAATAATATACATTTTGGTACTATATTACAGGAAAAAAAATACACATTATAAGACTTTGTCTTATAATAGATAGTAATTATGTCTCATAATTAAGGGTGCAGCATTTCTGTCTTTATCAATGAATTAATAAAATATTATTCTCACTAGTAATCTAATTAATTTGATTCATCATCATAAGTCTATTAATGTCCTCACTGCTGGGGCACAGGCCTTTTCTATGGATGGGATAGGGAGTTTGGGCCATAACCCACCACGCGGGCCCAGTGCAGGCGGATGCTAACGACTGCAGATGCAGCCGGGACCAACGGCTTAGCGTGCCTTCCAAAGCACGGAGGAACTCGAGACAGATGTTTTTGGTCACCCATCCAATGACCGACCACTGCAAAAGTTGCTTAACTTCAACCATTGCAGCCGAACGCGCTAACCACCCGCGCCATCGAGCTCCTCAATTAAATAAATTAATTTGAATATTTCAGTGCAAATAGATAAGAGTATATACATAGAGGCAGATTGTTTTCATTTTTAATATGCGACCGAACCAACTGATTCCTGACTATCTTGCTAGACAATTCGCTTGAAAATGTCAATATAGACAAGTTGCTTTGTAGCCTTCTAATAAGAAGTAAACTGTGTTAATATGGATCGACCGAATACGTATACCTTTACAAAAAGTTACAGTTTTACATATAAGTTTTGCTTGTACTTGATAATAGTACTTTATGTTGGAAATAATAACTGAGAAAAATATTTTTTATTATGTTGTTTAATTTGTTCCAATGTTTGTTTGTTGTTCCAGCTTCTTTTTTTATGTTATCTAGAATGTTTTTTTTTAATGAATGCTGAAAAAGACCATCAGCCTTCGGTGTATTGAGAACTCGAACGCCACAAACGAACTTGCGCCACTAAGTCGGCTATAGCTCGGTGTTAACATTCATAAATCACGTGTTTCATATACCATTAGTATTACGAGTATTACTCGTGATACGATGCAAGCACGCGAGTGATACCGCCCTCCGATATTGTCACGTTACCACGAAACCAGGTAAATACTTGACGTGTCCGTTTCAAACGGCGGAGTTCCCCGAGTTAAAATGACGCATGGTCTATTCAGCAGGCAGACCTGGCGCGTTTTAATTTATTACCAAAACGAAAGGCTTACAAATATACACTATTTGTAATCGTACTTATGTCAACAGTGGAAAAGCAAAATCGGTTAAATGTCACTTGAGTAATTTTGCAAATTAGGCAATCAAAGTGCAAATCATATGCCATACGCCAAATAGAAGGATGAAATCGACATTTTTTTTTTCCCTTTATTAGGCTAAACAAACAATGATACAATCTTGTTACATTATAGATTAATACTATCAGTGTACTAATTGCATCATCCACTACATTTACCACAGAGTTTCTAACAGTAATTAGCATTGTGAGACTGTATACATTTAACTTAAATTAACTATTAATTTACTTTATTTGCCTATTATACTTAAATATGTAAATACATACTCTATAATACAATTTCTGATTTACTGACATTGATTCAAAAAACAAAAACATTTTCAGCGTTTTGAACTACCAGCTGTGCTCCGCGGTGTTACTCGCAGTTTATTCGGGGTATTTTCCTTCAGTAAAACGTAGGTTTTGTGTTAATCCAGGGTGTCAGCTAACTCCATACCAAATTTAAATTAAAATCGCTCCAGCCGTTTAGACGTGAAGAAGTAACAAACATACACACTCATAAACTTTCACCTTTACAATATTAGTCTAATAAAAAAAACTGTCGCTTAAGCGTCAAAAAACTGCTCGAATCTTTCTTAGTATATTTTTTTTTTCAGCGTCAATCTGTTTATGTTTCGAAATCTGATTTCTCTTGAGAAATCAACTTCGGAAAAGTAAATAGAAAAGAAGTTAAAAGAAACAAACGAATAAAAAGCGAGTGCTGTATAATAGATAACGAATGACTCTATATGAAAATAGAGAGGGAAAATGAGTGAAATAATTAATTACTATGATAAATTCATGTAGTACATCAAGAGTAGTGGTATCTTTGCCTTCTTTAAAAATCTGTATAATCGAGTGACTGAAATTTGTAATGGAGGTGTCATAAATATTTGAATGTCCACACCAATAAACTTTTAAAAAGTGATTAAGATGTCGTCGGGGCATCCGCCCATATAGCGGAGGGTGCCGGATTCGAGTCCCGTCGGCTGCCTGGTCCGCGTGGTATAATAATAATAATAAATAGTAAAAATTTCCAACACTCACACCAATTAGCCTAGCCCCAAAGTAAGCACTATAAGGCTTGTGTTATGGGATACTAGGGTAACGGATAGAATACATATACTGTACATATATAAGTATATTAATATAGAATTACATATTAAACATCCATGACTGGAGTACAAATGCTCGTATTCATCACACAAACATCTGCCCCCACCGGGATTCGAACCCGGGACCTCTCGAGTCGGCGACACCATGAAACCCGGCGTACAAACCACTCGGCCACGGAGGTCGGAGGATTTATAGCTTTAATTGCACTACCATTTCTCCGTCATCTAGACTTTACAGTAACCTTAGCTGTAACTGTAATAAATATATTAAGTAGTAACATTATACACATTTAAGACATCAATATGGCGGGATGATGCAATAAAGATTACATTATAAGCAATGTATGCACCTGTTAATACTCCCGTTGACCCGTAGTAAGCTAAACAAACTAATGCTCATTTTATGAGGTAACTATAAAATCAAGTCGTATCTATGGTCCTAATCTGTGCTATGGGTGCTTTGTGCCGTTCTGATATAATTAAGACCATAGAGAACTTACTCTCATGAAAATTATTTCAAATTAAGGACTTGAACTGTACTAAGTACTTCTATCATTTAATGTTGGCTTTATTATGGTTAAACATAATATATCAATATCTTAGTGTGTGATTCAAAGAATCCACATTGATTGTATAAATTTCCTTCAAAGTAATTTTTCAATTAAATAGGCTGTAACTATATAAAGTAACGTTATGTTTTTCACTAGCTACTGTTCTTCAAAATGTTATACAATGGACATGGTAAAGATTTGTATGAGCGACTGCCCTGGCAATGTATAAATAAGTAATATTTAATGGTAAATGGGTGAATACTTATAATTTCTACGAAAAAAGGCTCAGGAACTTTTGATAAAGTCACAATCTTGGAAATTATAAGAACTACTATTATGTCATTACCTTACTACAGTTGATGTTGCCAATTATTTACAGAGCCATCAATTTCGCATTTTCTTAGAATCTTTCTTCCTATTTCTGATTAACTATTCACAAAAAGTTTTTTTAAAGCTAAAATAAATACAAATAATTTGCTATCGTCGGCCTGACAGGACAGCTGTGAAGTTTTATTTTGTCCATTTGCAAAACTTAAAGGATTAATTATCATACAGCCTTATCACAAGCCTGATCAGAATAATAAAACTTATTA